TTTAAATGGTTGAAAAGCATGCAACATATATCCTTTGTCGAATGAAATCTTGTTTGATAAAAAATCTTCTTCACTGAGGTGGGCATGATGGCTAAACCTAAGACTAACTTGGTGCATGACTCTTAATTCTTTGGTGAGTTTATTTCATAATCTATGTGCTTAAATGTTTTTTTTTTTTTTTTTCTTTCTTCCTTTCTTCTTTGGAATTATCTTACCCACAATATTATATAATCTAGAGTTTAGCAATCGATTATTTCCACTACATACAAAAGGTCCCTCCTTTTTAAGCTTACTCAAAACGACCTAAAATATATTCACCTCTCATACACGCTATAATCTCTCTCCATAAACCCAAATGTCCCTTCTTGTGTTCCTCCACTTCATATAGAAGCCTCAACTTCACTCACACCATCAATCAATTCTAATTATGATTACATATTAACATCCAAAAAATAAAAAATATAAAAGAAAATTATCATAGGAAATAAAAGAAAATCGTAATATATTATACATTAATAAAATTAAAAATATATATTTACTCCATATATATAATGAACACATCACTCTTTTATATCACTGAAAAGAAGTTAATTTTGTGAGAGAAATTAACTCAGAAAAGAAGTTCACAGGTTCCTCTATCATGCCTTCCTCATAGAACTCCTATGAGGTCTTCCTCATAAGAATTCTACTGTCCATGGCATTTGAAGAGACAGGCTCACTAATTATGATCCCTCTCTCTCTCTCTCTCTCTCTCTCTCTCTCTCTCTTGCATGGCCAATCAAACCTAATCCCGATTCATGTTACAGATTCCGTTTCCCTTACTACTCATTATTCACAGGCCGTAATAATGGCTAAATCCAAACCCTGAAGTGAAATAGTATAAATAAAGAACACTACTTATACCTACTGTCATATATACTCATGCACCAAGGTGGCAAATTTCCTGTGTCTCAAGGCCCAGTTCAGTGACTTTGAGAGCAGAAAGTGTTAGCAAACTACAAGCAGCCATGGTGGAGTGATGGCAAAGAAAACCCTAATATCTGCAGGGAAACAACTGCAGTTTAGTACATGCTGCCCTAATAAAGTCTGCCTCCTTTTAGTAAACAATGGGTCCATGCAATTGGGCATCTTTGTCTCCAAATCTAAGCCTGGTTTTTGGTCTAAGCCTGGTTTTTGGTAGATCTTTTCTTCCTTTTTCTGTCACTTCAGAAGAAAGTTGGTGTCTCAGTTTCTCTTTTCAGTTCTTTAGCTGACTTCTTAATGGCGAAGAGATGGGATTGTTTTGGATTTCCTTGTTTTTCTTCATTTCTTTGTTCATAATCTCTTGGAAAGGTGGAGTTATTGTGCTCCATAAGTTGTTATGATGATTTTTTTTGTATATAGGCTGTTATTGATTACCTGTTTTTCTTTTTTGTGTTCAATCATTTCTTTTTCCTTTTTTGTGTTGCAGTATTGGTATGGGAGATTCTATTGTATTATTTTGGAATCATCGAACATCAGCAGATGATAAAACTTCTTGTAATTAGTTTAATCTTCTAGCTAGAAGTTTCTTATTTTTTTCAGAAATAAAGAACATTTCATTGCCCATTTCATGGAAAATTGTTATGCCTGGACCCGGACAGCGTTCGGAGATCAATCAAAATGTTCTACATCACCCTTTTGCACGGTACCGCTAACATGGTTGCACCTGATTCGCCTCCGGACGTACACAGAGTTGCGTCCAGCATCTGCACAAAATAATTTCTCCAATTCATGACCGTTTGTGGATTAAATTTAAACAAAGATGAAATAACCATAAAATCTATCATCTTTGAGAACCAAAAACCTATTACATATAAGTTTAAATTTTTTTTACTTTTTTTCTAGTAGAATCAAAATCATAATCTTCAAAATTAATTCTGATTATACTTATTAAAGAATTTTGTGGGAATAAATTATTTTCAAGCCAAAATAAAATGGTAAGAAATGCAATATTCTTAATTTTCAGGAAATACTTTGAGCACTTGTTTGCGACATCTTAGCAAACAGAAAAAGCAAACATATTTCCTTGTTGAGAGTTGTGAGAAGTCAGGTCTGCTAAATCATGGAGATTAACTTTTATTGATCAATCTTAAGTTCAAGGGCAGGGTTTCAAAGGTATTAGCATTTATGAGTTATTTTTGGTTGCCCTAATTTTTCTTCATAAATAAGAATCATATCTTGTATGAGAAATAATGACTGCAATCATCTAACTACAATCAAAATCATAATGACATCAACAAGATGTCATCATCAATAAATACATTAAAAAAATTCGTTTGTATTTTTTTTTTGTGTGCTTAGATCTTCTTTTTTTTTATTTTTTTATTTGTATTAAGTTTTCGATCACGCTGCTCATCTTGATATGTTAGTTAGGAGCTTTGGTTATTAATCAAGAGGCCTTGGGTTCCAATCCTCATTGCAACAGTCGTCCTAAAACTGCTGCAAGGAAAAAAGTAGCGGTTATAACTGCCGATATATGTTGAAATTTGTGTTGTGATAGTTCTATTTTTTTGGTATAGTGGGCATACGTATGTGATGTGCGTGCGAGTTTTCTTTAATCGACTTAAATATCCTCACAAAAAACACAAAACCTATTCCAATCACAGTTGATTTTAATGTTTTTAAGAATAAATCTTGTTCTTACATGACAAAAGTGTGCTGCCCAAATTCTGCTTGTCCAGTGGGGAAATCTTTGTTCATCCATCTATGAATGAAAAGGCGAGAAAGAAACTAAGACAGGGAATATATCTATAGAGAAGAACTTTAATATCAACATCGTACTATCATGTCTAGCTTTGAAAGCTACCAAGATGCTGAACCACTTGCATCAACGATAAGACATAGTCCAAAGGAAAACTTTTCAATCATAATTAATTAACAAATTAAAACTACTAAACTCTTAATTAATTTATATAATAATTCGTTATCATTGATTTCTAAATGTTTCTGAACATTCCCAAATCTGAAATCCTAAATGTTTCACTTCAAAAACAAAATCTAAGAACGTCCAAACATCTCAAAAAATGTTTAATGAACTTAATTACATTTACTCACTTCTGAAGGCAACGTTTGGATGCTAAGAATTTAAGTAAAAGCGAAGAAACAGTTAAAAAAAACTCATATCAGAATCAATAGATTCATAACAAAATATTGGAATTATTCCATCTCATTCATTAACTTGCCTACAATCCAATTAAGCAAACCTGGTTAGCGTTCGGTAACAGTTATTTTCCTTCAGAAATATAGAACAAAAATTTAAGCTTCGTTTTGGACGGCTTTCTTTCTGCTTCTTAAAGTAGTTTTTTAGTATAAAATTTTTTAATTTTATACTAAAATATAGCTTTAAGAATCAGCCGTCCCAAACAAAACCTTAATTAAATTTCATATACTATTTTAGCTCCCTCATTATTGATGATTAAGACATACAACTTTGGAAAAAGTTAATGAAATAAAATGATAATGAAACATCAACAAGTGTTGACTAATGCACCAACAGAACTAATAATGCTTACATGTCAACATCAATGTCTCTCTCAGACTTACCCAATTAACAACATAATATAATCATTAAGAACTTAATGATTCCTATCAAACCAAGAATTAAGTAGAAATTAATCAAAAAGATGTGCATTAAATTCTCTGTGAAGTGGAGATGGAAGGATCATCGCAAATATTAATTCATCATGCAGAAAGTGCTGCAATGGCCAAGCTGTGCCCATTCCTCTCACGTGCAGAGCAAAGGTAACTGAGCTCGATCTCTTCTCTCACTAGTTTGCAGGAAAATAAAGAGCCATAGAGAGGAGACCAAGTATGGAAAAGAGCATAAGGTTGCAGGAAACCGCTTCCTCTTCTGTTATGCCCTACCCTTTTAAAGAAACAGACATTTGCAGCAGGTGCCGCGAATGGGATTTTCAGCTTCGGGGTTAGAGTTTGATGCCTACTTTCTCCTTCTCCAATTACTCCCTTCACTATCAAAATTTTAAGTTATTGTCATACATTTTTGAAAAGGTTGGATTATTTTGTGTGAGTTTTAGTCATATTTATCCTTAAAAATATGATTAAAATTAGCGGATTTCAGTATTAATTTAACCACATTGGTTTTTTTTTTAAGAGGAAGAGTGACTAAAGAGTTTTAATTAATGATTATTTTAATACAATGTAGCTTATTATGGCCACGTTTGGTATGGCTTTCTTACTGCTTCTCAAAATGACTTTTTAGTATAAAAATTAAAATTTGTATACTAGAAAGTTGTTTTAAGAAAAGCATCAAGAAAGCCGTCCCAAACGAAGCCTAAAAGAGTTATTTTAGTTACAAATATCTATGGGAACAAAATTACTCTTCTTAAAATTGAAAAAAAAATATAAAGTAAAAATATAACTAATAAAATCATTTTAATTACTAGCATTTTTTTAGAAAAATAATATAATCGAGAGTTATTAATATTGGAGCAATGCTTCTAGCTCATCCATGAAATATATTTTCAGCACATATAAGATGAGATTGTGGACTATAATTTCACATTCTTTCTTGATGTAGAATTTAAAGATAAATGCTTATATGTCTTTTGACAAAAAATCTTTTACTATTTAGAAAAAAAATATTAGTTACCTCAGTCAAATTAATATATTTTGAACAACAAACTTTTTTTTTTACATCTATGACATTTCGAATGAATAAATGTGTAGAAAATATGATAATTTTAGAATATTTAAAGCCATATTTCTCAATATCTAATCACACTACCCAACAAAAAGTGTGGCTATAACTCAAATATTCTACTAGTGCCCTCAGTCTCCTTCAGTTGAGATATTACCTACATCAAAGTCTCACAAGTCTGTACTATGATCACAGTGGTCCTCAGGTGAGTGAAGGAGCCAAGTATCTACCACCATCCTCTTCTCTTTTCTAAGATTTCAGTGAAAAGCATTTCCTTCATCAGCTTCCACAAGTTAAGCTTAGTTCAACACAGAGTTCATCCATGGAGAAACATAGAGAAAAATACAGCAGCATCAGCGAAAACAACTACAAAGTAAGTAGAGATCAGCAAGTAATGAGGTATGGGAGAACTTTTCTTGGAAGAGGAGATCCTTCCACAGCTGTGGGGTTCTCATGGCCTCCAAGATCTTACACTTGCAGCTTCTGCAAGAGGGAGTTCAGATCAGCTCAAGCTCTTGGCGGGCACATGAATGTTCATAGAAGGGATAGAGCTAGACTTAGGCAGTGTTCCCCTCCATGGGAGCATCCCTCTCCTTCAAACCCTAACCCTAACATTAAACCTAACCCTAACCCTAACAATGTGCCTAACCTTAACATGCCACCACCTTCTTTAAGTGCTAGAGATGACAAGCCTTCCTCAGTTCTCTACACATTCCCTTCCTTGATTTCTCCCCATACTTTCCCTCTTTCTTCTAATTCTTCTTTGTTTGGGGTTAGAGAGTGGAGGAACTTCATAGAGGAAGGTGGAAGGAAAGATGGAAGGGTTATGAGGGAGGAGACAGAGGTGATGAAGTTGAGCTTGGATGTGGAAGTTGATTATGGAGATTTGGATGGTGGAAGCTTGGATTTGGAGCTTAGACTTGGGTATACCTAGAGTTGCACTGTACTTTTTCACTGTTCTTGCCTCCTTCATCTTCACTTGTAATTCCTACTTTTCTGTGTTGATTTGCTGATAGCTATTAGCTAGCTAGCTTGCACTGTAATGTCTAGTATGGTTTAGCTTTCTAATGAATATTATTGGAATATTAATGCTTGCTTGTATGAAATTATGAGCATGAATATTTATTGCTTTGGCATTGTGTTATTCCTATTCTAGTGAATCACTTCATGATTACTGAGAGTAAGCTTTCCTCTAATGAAAAACAATATATATATATGTACAAAACTTCGTTTTTTTTTTCTTACTGAATCATTCATACGACATTTTCATTTTTTTAATTAAATTCATTTTGTTACTGTCTAATAACCTTTCAATAAATTGCTAAGTTTATGTAGATTAATACTGTAGAAGGTATATTAAATTTTTGGAGTAAATACAAAAAGGCTCTTAATATTTCATCACATTTTGATTTGATTGTGCCTTATTATTCTTTTTTCCTTCTTTAATGTTGAGAAATACTGTATGATGAAATGTTTCTAATTTCACACAATTTATTACTATACTTTGTTTATGCCCCTTTTCTTGATCTTCTATTTAAATATGGATCTTTTTTCTTTATTATTTTTAGGTGTAACATATGTTCATCTTAATATTTTATTTTTTCACACTGAAATTAATTATTAATCTTGATTAGCTATTAACACTCAAAATTTCTTTTCTAATTATTATTATTTTGGAAAAGAACTTCGAAGTCTCTAGAATATTCCAAATCACGCAATACTCTTCTAAAGCCTCTTTTTTAATCAATCAAACCTTCCTCTAAAAGTTATATGCCATCCCTTTAACTATGCAAGATATAATGTAATTCAACCTATACCACTTAAGTAATACTTAATTATTACGCATTGCTAACTTAATGTGAATTTTAGAATCATTAAAATTGCATATAATATGCACAATTTTAGTCAGCCAAACTTTATATCCTTATCTTCTAAAAGATTCTTATGTTATTCTAACTTTTCATTTGCTTTAAAAGAAATTTCATTTATCAAAAGCATATATTCTAATAGTTTACGCCAACTTGGTTCAATTTCTTTTAATGCCAACTCGGATCACATTTGAGCTCATTAAATTAAATTTGATATAAATTATTTAAAATTTAATGAGCGGACATTCCATTCTATTTGAATCCCTTTTAGGTCAAACATAAATTTGACCTATTGATGTGATATTATGATACACATGAGACATCATCTCACGAAAAACCCTAGCCGCCTCGTCTGTGCTTCTGGGGCGATTCGGAGGCTATTTCGCTGCTGCGCTGCTTGGGGCTCTTCGTTTTCGTACCGATTTCTCTTCCTGCCTTCTAAGTTTCATCCCTTCGTTGGTAAACTCGTTCCTTTCTCTTGCCCCTTTTTTTCGGTGGTTTCTCTATTTTTTTCCCTTGTTCCTTCGACCTGGAGCTTCTTGGCGGTTTATGTTTGTTTAGTGCTCTCGTTGGGTGGGGGGGCGATGACGTCTCCGACGTCGTCTACCCCGGTTGTACCTCCGGTCCTTACTGGTAAAATCCGATCTTTTAAGGATGTGGTTTCCGGTGGCTCGTCTTCTACGGTTTCGAAAGTCCAGTTTGTGCATTCTTCTTTTAAAGGTTGTCCTGCTCTTCTATTTGAGGATGCTGTTGTTCAGCAGCTGGCTGCTCCTTTTTCATTTACTATCGTTGGTAAGTTCATGTTACGTAGGCCAAACTTGGATGTCATTCGAAAATTTTTTCATGATTTGAAACTCTTGGGTTCCTTTAATGTTGGTTTGTTAGACTCTAATGACTTAGACTATAGCCGCATTTTATCTCGTCGTTCTTACTATATCCAGGGTTGTCAAATGAGGTTGCTTAAATGGTCTCCGAATTTTGATGTGAGGGAGGAGTCTTCCATTGCCCCGGTGTGGATAGCTTTTTCGAACCTTCGCTTGCATTTCTTTAATTCGCACATTCTTTTTGGTCTTGCTTCTGTGTTTGGTAGGCCTTTACAGACAGATCAAGCTACTGCTTCTCTGTCTAGACCTTCGGTGGCTAGAGTTTTAGTCTAATTGGATGTGACGAAAAAACATCCTCACGAAATCTGGTTAGGATCTGAAATGAATGGTTACTTTCAAAAGGTGGAAATTGAAAATTTACCTATATTTTGTTCTCACTGCAAGATGCACAGTCATGCTATAAATGAATGTTTTCGTTTACATCCTAATTTGCGGAAGGAGAAGAGATTGCCAAAAGTTAATGAAAATGTTGTTAGTAAGGTTTTTCATGAGCCTATTCCTCCTTTGGAGGACAATATTGGTCTTGCTAGCCACGAACTGGGTAATGCTAATTACGGTAATGAGGGGGAAGAGAATGTTATTGATAACTCTGCTTTATCTAATGTTTCTAAACCGCCTTCTATAAATATTGTCACTGCTATTAATGATAAGACTTCTCAAGAAACTGCGGTTCAAATTCCTTCTAGTATTGCTTTACATGATGCTAATAATATTTTAGAACAAGAGAAGTGGGTTAATGCTGAAATTGTTAACAATTCTAATGATTTGGTTGTTGTTCTTGATGAGGGGGAAGCTGTTCCTCCAAGCCCTTGGAGATGAGTCATACCGATGTTAATAATACTGTTGCTTGTAATTCTATCGATATTATTGATGATTCTCATATTAATAATGATGATCATCATATTTCTTTGCCAGATCAAAGAAAGCGCAACATTTCCACTGTGGAGGATGGGGTCTTGTTTTTAGAAGGTGATCATTCTGGATTGGACCCGTCTGGTGGTGAGATGAACAATGATTTCCTTTTAACTGATCATTATCATTGTGATGCCTTTACTGATACGGAAGTTGAAATTAATACTAAATGCTATGCTAGAGAGGACAATGATATGAGTTTTTCTAAAAGTCGTGGTAAGAGAGGTAGAAAACCTAGAAACATTATTTTACAATCTCCTAGGACTACTCGCTCACATACTTTTCATTAATTTTGTTTTGTTATGTTTAATATGATTATTTGGAATGTGAGGGGGATTAGGTGTCCTTCCTCTAAGCTTAGGGTTAAAAATTTATGTCGTATTCATAATATTTTTGTGCTTGTCTTGCTTGAACCTCTCATCTCTATGGATAAACTTTTGAATACTGCTAAAGATTTGGGTTTTAAGCATGCTTTTGCTAATGTTACTAACAAAATTTGGGTTTTTTGGAAAGATTTTGTTAGGATTGATGTTATTGGAGATTTTACTCAAGTGCTTCATTGTAATATTGAATCTTCAAATTTTTAATGTGTTGTTTCTTTTGTTTATGCTGCTACTTCTCGTTCTTCAAGGAGAATCTTGTGGGATCAAATTGTTAATTTTCACAGTATTTACACTTTACCTTGGTTGGTTGGTGGTGATTTTAATACCATTAGTAATCCTTCTGAGCGTGTTGGGGGCTTGCATCCTATTTACCATTCTATGGAGGATTTCAATGATATGATTATGAATTGTAATCTCATTGACATTGGCTTTTATGGTAATAAATATACTTGGAATATGTGTCATCTTTGGTAACGGTTAGATAGAGTTTTTTTTAATAATTCTTGGATTAATGTTTTTAATTCTACTAAGGTGGTGCATTTGAGTCGTACGCTTTCTGATCATTCCTCTATGCTTATTAATGTCAACTTTAATTTGGTGGGTTTTAATTCTCGTTTCAGATTCCAGAACATGTGGTTAACTCATGATTCGTTTATTAATGTTGTTCAAACTAATTGGTCTGCTCCTATTTTCCCTAATGACTTTATTACTGACATGCTTAGACTTTGGGTTAAGCTTAAAAGGTTAAAGATGGTTCTGAATTGGTGGAATCGGAATGTGTTCAAAAATATATTTTCTAATATTAAGGAGGAGGAAGAGAAGATTAATGCTCTTGAGGAATGTTGCCAAAATGATCCCATGGTTGCTAATTTTGCTGTCCTTAATGAGGCCAAAATGGTCCTCAGTAATCTTCAATGTCAGAAAGAGATTTATTGGAAACAAAAGGCTGCTATTAAACACTTGGTGGAAGGGGATAATAATACTAGTTATTTTCATGCTTTGATTAATAAGAAGCGTGCTATTAATGGTATTCACAAAATTGCTCGTGTTGATGGTTCCTTTATTGAGAATGGTGATGAGATTGCTAATCTTGCTGTTAACTTTTTTCAAAGTCATCTTAATAAAGATTTTTGTCCTATTCCTATTGTTGATCATTCTTTTATTCATAATATTGTGAATCAAGAGGAGAATATGAGTCTTTCTTCGTGCCCTCTTTTGGATGAGGTTAAGAGTACTTTATTTGACATGAATGCTGATTCTGTGGCTGGCCCTGATGGCTATACTGTTAAGTTCTTTCAACATTTGTGGCAGTTTATTTATGAGGATGTTTATGCTACTGTTTTGGATTTTTTTAATGGTACCCCTATTCCTAAGTTTTTCACTTCTACCTCTATTGCTTTGATTCCTAAGAGTAATATGGTTAATTCTTGGAATGATTTTAGGCCCATTAGTTTATGCACTATTTTTTATAAATTAATTTCTAAAATTTTGGTTAACCGTCTTTCTGTTCTTCTTCCTAAGCTTATTTCCCCTAATCAAATGGGGTTTGTTAAAGGTCGTGCGATTGTGGACAATATCTTGCTTGCGCAAGAATTTTGTCAAGACTTGGATATTAAGACTAGAGGGGGGAATATGATTTTGAAACTTGATATCGCTAAGGCGTATGATAATATTAACTAGAGCTTTATTTATAACATGTTGAAATTTTTTTATTTTGATGACAAGTTCATTTCTCTTATTAGCTTATGTATTAAAAGTCCTTTCTTTTCCATCATCCTTAAAGGTAAGTGTCACAGTTTTTTTAAATCTTCTCATGGGTTGCGGCAAGGAGATCCTATCTCTCCGGCTATCTTTATTCTTGCTGTGGACTACTTGTCTAGGGGGATT